TGCGAGAAAAATTTCTGCTACGATAATTTTTTTTTACAAAAACAACATAATGGGAATAATTCCGATTAGAATAGGATGGAACTTCATTCATCCGAATGACGATACGCCCGCGGCGGCATACGCTCGGATAAGCTAGTAATTATCCGGAATAATTGGATGCGTTCGGAAGTTGGATAGTTCTCGCGGATTTAGCGAGAACTTTCCGCGGCGACATCCAGGCTCAGCCATCGTGGACGGCTTCGCCCATGTAATGTGTAACGCGATTTCGTCCGTGGTGAAGAGGGCAGGGTGATGGCAGGGAGGAACGCGCGCCAGATGAAGTGGATCCGGCTAGAAACAGTTCCGAGAGCCCTTCGACCCTTTCCGTTTTCCGCGTCGATGCCCGCGAGAGAGATCATCCCGAGCTTGAGAATCAGCCGCGAAAGGTACATTGCGGTGGAGAAAACGAGAATGGAGGGAAGAAAGAAGGACGAAGAGCAACAGAGAAGGATAAAAGCGGGACGAGGCCTCTCGAAACTCTCTCGCGCAGCTCTCGGAGCGTAAAATGTCACGTGGCCTGACGACCCTTGGCAATCTTCCGAACTGATTTAACCGCTGTTTCATCCAGTTTTATAAATGAATCGACGGAGAGAAAAAGAGAGAGAGAAAGAGAAAGATGGTCCGTTGTCCGAACTCGCGTTCAAATATGAACCGACAGATATGGCCGCGAAAATTCTCGCGACAATAATACAAACGTTTGTGCTTTCTCCGCGTATCGATTAGCCGGAATTTAAAATCTCGAGAGAAAGAGTGAGAAAGAGGGGAGGAACAAGACGGCAGTATGTGACCTGGCGCGGTGCCATCGGATAACGTACGGAATTTTTTGCGATAAGTGGCGGTGAGCGTGTAAATGATTATTGGATGGAAAAGTTAGGAAAATATGCGAGACGATGCGCGAAACGATCGCTAATTTTCTTCAAGATCGTGTAAAAATATCTCGGGGAATATTTTAAATGTATGTTTTCGTACACATTTTGTATAATTAAATTTAATAATTTAATTTAATAATTTTTACAACTTTAACTTTGCGTACACATACCAATCAATCAATGTATACTAAATAATATAATATGTATTTATGCTCTAATTAAGTAGCGCGAAAATCATAGGGAAAGCCGGTAACGAAGTACAAAAATCGATATATACGAAAGAGTTGCGAGCTAAACAAATCATATAGTGCAGTCCCACTCTATATATGTATATACGGTAACCACATTTATCGGGATCAAATTTAGAACACCGATTCGAACCACTTACACTTGTTTACATATTGCTATTACACATTGTAACTGTATTCTCTTATGTTTACCTTTCTGCTTTCGAAGAGCATCCTGTGCGAGAAAAATTTCTGCTACGATAATTTTTTTTTACAAAAACAACATAATGGGAATAATTCCGATTAGAATAGGATGGAACTTCATTCATCCGAATGACGATACGCCCGCGGCGGCATACGCTCGGATAAGCTAGTAATTATCCGGAATAATTGGATGCGTTCGGAAGTTGGATAGTTCTCGCGGATTTAGCGAGAACTTTCCGCGGCGACATCCAGGCTCAGCCATCGTGGACGGCTTCGCCCATGTAATGTGTAACGCGATTTCGTCCGTGGTGAAGAGGGCAGGGTGATGGCAGGGAGGAACGCGCGCCAGATGAAGTGGATCCGGCTAGAAACAGTTCCGAGAGCCCTTCGACCCTTTCCGTTTTCCGCGTCGATGCCCGCGAGAGAGATCATCCCGAGCTTGAGAATCAGCCGCGAAAGGTACATTGCGGTGGAGAAAACGAGAATGGAGGGAAGAAAGAGAGAGAGAGAGAGAGAGAGAGAGAGAGAGAGAGAGAAAGGGGTAATGGGAGAGGAGGAAAAAGAAAAAAACAGATTCGAGATATATGTTGCGTGGGCAATCGGCCTGACATTTTGGCTTTAAAGGGCACTTAAAGTCGTCAGCGAAATTGATGTGTCTCGCCGATGCAACACGGAATTTGATGCGGTGTGAAAAGAGAGAAAGAGCACTTCGCGTAGACATTAATTTGTATCGATCGTTTTGCGAAAAGATACGAGTTATACTGAAAAGCCGCGATAGTCTGTAAAATATAGCTCTTTCTCTTTATCATTATAATCTATGGCATTTTACATTTTAATAGATGAAGTTAACTAATCTCTCTCTCTCTCTCTCTCTCTCTCTCTCTCTCGCTCTTGCTTTTGATTATATACATATATGTATATGATATAGTGGGCGTTGTGAGTTAAGTAGAATTTGAATATCTCGAGATCAAATATTGGAAATGCATGCAACTCGTTGTTTTATTACGAATTTGCACATTTATCCGCAAGATATCAGATAATTCGAAAAATTCAAATATTAAATTCTTTTCCCTTTACGTCAGATATGTGCTCGCATTTTGATAGATGGTCATATGAATGACATCGAGTGCAAATAGCTCATCATATTCAAAGTCTTATAATTTCGTCAATTTTGCGAATTTTTCAATAAAATTTGAGGCGTGTTCTTTAGACATCATACTTTCAGAAAGTGTAAAAAAATTTTTTGATCCTCTAGAGTAAACTGGGCTCTTAATAGATTAATTGATAATAATGCAAAAAAGATTCGCCTCGGATATACTGGATCGCGATGGCACGATATTTGCGGCGTAATCCGCGAGGCGGTAGCTTATGTGGCGAAATTAATAATAAGATCTACTCTTCCCCTTTTTTCCCCAAAACGCGCCTCACGAAGGATTAATTTAATTGCGAAGGAAATCGCGCGCGAGTTGTACGCTCGAGTTTATTGCCAGAATTATTGTCGGAGAAATGATGATATCGCCGCGGCGGCGAATTACGGTTCGGTTATTCGAACCTGAATCTGGGCGAGTAATTTCAGGTTGGAAATAACTGCTGACTAAGCCTCCGTGGGTTTTTTTTTTTCCCCTCCTCGAACGTATTATGGATATTTTATGAAAGCGCGATAATGATATTTGGACGACAAAAGAGTGTGCGTAATTCGCCGGTGGCGAATGAAATTGCAGGTGAGGGTGGAGAATCCCCGCGTTATTGCGAGAGATTAATCGCGTGTGTTCTCGAAACTGGTTCGTGCTTTCGAAAGCGATTGTCGTTATAAAGAATGATATTGCACTTATTACGGACCGAAATTGCTTTCGGTGTTTTGTTGTAAAATTGACTGCAATTATTCTGGTCTGAATAAGTCTGAACGGAGCGATAATATTTACGATGTATCTTCAAGACAGACGTTGACTTATACAGAGAATAAAAATCGTGTCGCAAATCCAGGATTAAACTTATCGACCTATTTTTGTCAAAACTTCACTTCACAAATCAAAATGAAAAATGATTGAAGTCTCGTACGCGAGAGATGTGACGTCGCCTTGAATGGAAATGCGGCTCGTCTGCGTGACATGAGAGAAAACAGGCTGCCGGGAAAAGCCACACGGAAAATCTCCAATCCAGCGGAGTAATTTTCCTTAGACAAGATCACTCCGTAAACCCTATCCGGATTGATACGCGTAATAAATCACTAGTTGGATGGAGGAGATAGAAGGAGGAGAGGCGAGGTCGAGAAAGTCCCGAGATCGCCAGATGGATCTCGTCTTTCTTTTTTGGCGGCGTTAACATCTTTCTCACGGCTGTGGCCCGATTTACAGTTCATCAAATCGCGAATTCCGTCGTCGATCAGATCGAACAGGTGGATCATCGCACGTTGCGCTGTCGATCAAATTCCGATTATCTCCCGACGATAATTTAAATTTAACACATTTAGTCGCGGCTTTCAAGTAAACAAACGCGCAATCGGAAGATTATATTACTATTTAATTGACCCGCACAGCGGTTTGAAATGTACATTCAAACAATATTTCCGCGACCCGACTCGTATGAAAACATTTACAACGATTTGTTACGCCGTATTTCTCGCTTGCTAAACGTACTTTTAATCCGACCGTATTGACGATGAAGTTGGTTTATTACGCGTTGCTTTATTTCGACGCCATCGTCGCCAGTTTTCATAAATCCGTGCCGGTCACACATGTGTATTTATGCAGGTGTGTTTATGCGCGCTTATAAAACACGGTATTACATTATAAAATGCGAATATGAATAAATGATAAATTTTATCGCAGCTTTAATGTAAAATTAATAAATAACGCGAGTGATTTACGCAGTTTGCATCCAAGTTTTATCGTTTGTTTTCAAATGGAATTATATCTGTAATAACGGACGGCTTTTCGAGAACACGCAGAACTTTCTCGTCAAGCCTTCGTTTCGTTACGCAACGTAATCGACGGGATTTTCGCGCGACGAACGTTTTTATCGAAAAATTTGGCCGCGTCACTGAAAATGCGCGAAATGTTGGCCATGTCACTGTAACACGACGACGATATCCCGGAGGATTCACGAATGATCGAGCCTCTCGCAATGTCGGCGCAAATTAAATTAAATTAGACAACTGAATTTTACGAATCGATAGTTCTCCTCTGACAATAACGTTTTTTTTTTATCTCTTTTTGGACAACTTTTCGACAGATGTCCAACGGGCTACAATTCAACAACGGTGGGATTAATAGCGCGATGACGTCACATTTTATCGCATTTATTAATTTAATAGCAATACGTGTTGCAATAAATTGTTGTATTCTCATATTATATTTTTATCGGGCAATGTTTAAATCTCTAGCACGTAATAACTTTTGAATGTAAATCTTGTTAGTTATCTCCCTCTCTCTCTTTCTCGGTAATTTATGATCGTAAAAATGCAAAATTATGGTAACGAAGAGAAGCGAACGCAATTTTCGGTATTATTAACATCGCATAAGCTTTTTTTTCTTTTGGAGTCTGTTAATATAACTATTTGAATTTTTAACGATAATCAAGGGGATATTTTTTATGGTTCTCATTAAATCGATTGCATAGAATTTTTATCAGAATCTCGAAAATAGAAATATTTTTGTTTCAGCTCGGATGGAAGAGGAAAAAGGTGCGTCAAACGCACAGATCCTTTGGTCGGCCTGTCAAGCCTTGGCTAGAGCAATGAAAACCGCGTCACCGGATGTGACGATCAGACCATTGGAACCTGAAATTAAGGCTATCTCCAAAGCAGCATGTAAGTGTCTTAATTTATCAATAGGATATCTACTTTCTGGAAAAACATGGAAAACTTGGAATTTTCAGAGACTTTTTTGTATCTAGAAGAAATCAGGGAATTCTCATGGAATTTTATTGAAATTCAGAAAAGTAAATAAAATTTTTTTCTTTGATAATTTTGCTCTTATAGTGTAAGCAGTAATAAGCCAAGTTATGAAATAATTAAGCGTTTAAAATATATTATAAATACACATCTGTCTCTCTGTTTATATATTCAATGTGTTTTAACAAAATATTGAATATGCATACATATTCTTTATTGTAATTTTTAGTGATAAAAAATGAAAATGTATTATGCAAGCGAAAAATGTTTATCTCACCAAAGCTATTAATCTTTTTCAGTATATTTTGAAATGTAGTACTAGAAACTTAAGTGGTTTTGTGTTTTTCCTTCTCATGAGTGAAATTTATTAGAAAAAAAAATATATATATATATATATATATATATATATATATATATAATGAAAAATCTTATTTCAGAAAATTTCACCATAAAATTTTTAAAATTTTCTCTCTATCAGGAATTTTGAACAAAAATATAGAAGATCAGGGAATTTCCAAAGAATTTTTTTACAACATTTGAGTAGATATTCTGATTAATAAGAAATTCGAACCCATTTTGCTGTTTTATTAACATTTTCTTTAATTAATGATTTATATTAAACATCTTAGCGCATTAAGAAAGCGTGTGATTTACATGCGCATTGAATAAAGAAAGAAAGCTTACGTCATAAACGAAGAGATAGCTCGATAGACTTTTAAAGTAATATCGCACGGCAGGTATGCGGTTCGCATTGCATACAAAATACGGCGAATACCTTCTAAAGTAGCGTGAGAAACTTGGAGAATAGAGTGCGGACTTTACTGTTGTAACTCCGGAGTAGTTCCCTGCATTACGGTCGCTCGTAATTATTATTACTTGCTTTCGTATACATTATTATTACTATATACGCGAACAAAGTATGTAGTTAATTCAGCAAACATCGGGCCGAATTAATTAAATCTACAAATTATCGCGTGAAATCTTGCGTATTACGTTACGTGTCTCTGAAACATTAAATACGCGCGAAAGTATTATACACTTATTTGCAAAATATATACACCAGTCTGTATTTATAATAAACAGATAAAAATTTAACACATACATATACATACACATTTTCTGCGTGACATCTTTACAACAGTCGAGCAATTGATTTGGATCTCAAGTCAGTGCTTATTTATCTCCTTTATACCATATTATTTTATTTTGATATTACAAAACATTATTAAACGAGATTTCGAAACGAGGTTTCTGTGTGTTTCATCCCTTCAATTTTTTTTGATGTTATTTGAAACAGCGTTCGAATTTCATATTTCTTTCGTTTCTTTCTGATACTTCTCCCATAAATCTATTTTGGTTACCGACAATGAGAGAATATCTCGCTCGTCGCGATTTAAATGCTTTCGATTTGAAATATGAACGCCATCTCGGAATCTCGCAACGTCAATTTTTCCGGATACTGATCTGCTCTTTGACAAGAGTACGGCATTAATTTAATTTGAATCGCGGACTAAATTCGACAAAGAATGTTAATCCGGCGAGCGGTCTTTCTTTCGTTCGGGACCGCACGCGTTTTAATCGCCGTCCAGCAATTCGCGCTCGTTTCTGCTGGCGTGGATCGCCGAATCGACTATTAAAGGCTGGAACAATAGGGATGACGACGACGACGGAATCTCGTACACGAGCGTATGCGAGTCGAGCGGATAGAGCGGAACGAGAGACTCGGCATAGCAGAAGAGAGACCCAGTCGAAGATTTACGGCTTAATCGGAAGCGAGCATTCATATATATATATATATATAGAGGACCCTAGGGTTGGGTATTTCAAAGAGCTCGTGTCGGTCTGATGGAGTGCCGCGCACTTGGTGTTCATTAATTATGCCTCTACCGCGAGCGCTTAATTGCGCGAAGTGTCTATAAATTTTTGGTTGACCGCGCGCTTCAACGCGTTTTAATTCCTTCCACCAGAGACGTGGTCTGCGTAATTTCGATTTTCACGGATCGGTGCACGCGAGAAGTGAGAATTCTAATTGTTAATTAAAATTCGGATGCTTTATCGAGTTACTTAAAGACGATGACAAGCGTTCGCGAAATCGATCAACGAGATATTTTTTTTATTAATCTTTAATGATGAGAATTGTCAATGTCATTGATGTAAATGGGCGATTATCCGACGCATAAAATAATTCATTATACAATAAACTTATTATTATTTACATGTGATTTTGCGATAATCGAATGCGAACCGCAAGCCTGAAACGTGCGTCCGCAACGCTCTGCAGTAAAGCATAAATTCGTTCAATGAGAGAAAAACATAGCCGGAATGTTGTGGCTTCAGTAACCGCAAAGCAAATTGGACTACAGCGGATATTTGGTAATTTCGAATAACATATACGTTACGCTGATTAATCCTGCTGTCGAACCTCGGAGGAAACGTTAGTTTCTCGAATGAACTAGTCGATCAAAAATTACGTTAACTGAGATTTCAATTAATTAAGTAAATTGAGAGAGAGAGCTACCGGTAGAGGCGATGAAAGCACTGATTCAGTTTCCTCGTTTCCTTTGATTCTAGCGAAGGAAGATCCTCTGGTGTGCGCCGCTATCCAGAGCATTCCCGAGGAGGCGGCCAAGAGAGGAGTATTCCCGGAGGATGTCCTTCGCGTGAGATTCCTCAAGGTAATTATTACGTTTCCAGTATTTTTTAACATATATTTACATGTATTTACTCCTTGAAAAAACATGGAAAACCTGAAATTTTTAGGGATTTCTTTTGTATCTCGAAAAATCAGGAACTCTCATGGAATTTTATTGGGACTCGGGGAATTTAAAAAAAAATTCTATCTTTGATATTTTTGCTCTCATATTATAAACAGTCGGTAAAAACCAAGTGAATTATATTTTTAAAATATATTATAAATATATATCTCGCGCTGTTTATATATATTCAATGTCTTAACAAAATATTGAAGATGCAATACATATTCTTTATTGTAATTTTTAATAATAAAAAATGAAAATCTTATTGCAAATGAAAAATGTTTATCTTACGAAAGTTATTCAATTTTTTTTAGTACACTTGCAAATCTAGCACTTGAAATTTACGTGATTCTGCGTGTGTTTTCTTCGTCTGAGAAAAAAGCATCAAAAAATTTATTTTAGGAAGTTGCACCAAAAAATTTTAAAAATATTCTCTTTACTTGAAATTTTGAACAAAAATACTTGGAATATAAGGGAATTTTGAGTAGATACTTTTGATATAGTATTCTTGTATATGATCGATAGGTTCAATTTCTCAAAGTCCGTTCGCTCTCATTATGTGTTGCTAGGTAGAAAGCGTGGCTAGGAGATTAGCTATGGTGCCTGAGGAGGGTGCAGCACTGCCTATATATCTTCTTAGCTATCTTCAAAGTTTCCTGATCATCAAAACGGCCAATCCAATCCCGAAGAAGGAGCTCGAAAACGAGCCAATCGATGTAAACTCTTTGAATACGTACGACATCCTTCAACGTGCCAGGTAAGATAGCTATTTATTTGTCGAAAATTCCTGTACATTATGTCCATGGCAATTATTTCTACAGGATCGAATCTTATTGGAAAGTTTGAAATTGTATTGATCGTGAATTAAATACAATCCGCGAAATTTCTTTACAGATACTTTGCTTGACCTCCATAAAAATTAATTGGCTGCATTTTTTTACAAATTTTGAATTCTGTGATATCCATCTCGCAATTTTATATTATTTATATAATGACAGCGCGAAATCGTTGATGCTCGAGAATGGTGTTTGTCGTAGCTCTCGACTTGAATGCGCTTTTATTGTACTCGAGCACCAATTTCGCACGTCACGCAAGGCCCTTCGTCTCTCTCTTTCTCCATCCGCTCTGATCCCGGTCCTCGTGACCCTATAAATTATCCTTACGAGATTCTAAGGACCGGAGAGAGAGAACGCGGCCGGCTATCAATGTGGCGAGAAAGACGAAAAAACCTACCGCACAATATCCGCCACGTATACTCTGACAAAGAACACTGCCATTTACTACTCGTCAGGTTATCCCCGGTGAAATCCGGTAGCCAGCCATTTTACCGACTTATCCCTTCGTTTTTCTCGTGCCAGCGGCTCGTTTAGTTTTCCACCCTTGCTGAAGGCACTCTCGATTTATGAGAAATGCTAAATAAGAATAAGCATCGTATATCTTGAGTGTTGCACGAGAGATATGTTGAAAAAAATTGTTTTTTATAAAAGACATGTATATCCCGTAATGAGACATTACACACACAATTACATATTTTATTGTTTGAAAATATTCAAACATTTATATTAAAAATGTGTGTATAAAAAGCGAAGCGTCGTACCATTTTTAAATTCACTGAAGAAAATCCGTTGTTAAAGTTTTATTCCGACGATAGAATACCTTCTATAGCTCCAAGGGGGAATACAGTTTCGCGGCACGTAGCGCGACGGCGTTGGTTTCTTTACGTTCAAAAATTCGCGAAAGTGGCGGTTTGTGGATCGCCGCGAAAGATAGTTTTACATACTTAAAAGCACTCTCGCGGCCGTTGATTTCGCACCCCGCGGCCTTTTCTCCGCTGGAACGGAGGATGTGAGATATCGAGTGTCGGCAGCGAAAGAGAAGTAGACCACCCTGCCCCCCATCCCCCTTCGCGAAAATAGACATTCTCGGCACGTACGAATTTACGCTCCCTTGGCTATCCGCCACGAGTCGTTATCTCTCTTTCTCTTTCACGGCTTACAAATTAAAAATATATTATTTAGGATATTTTCCGTGCGGATGGATTGCGAAGCGTATCCGCACGGAAATGTCAAAGTTTATCATTGGAATATAATTTTGCGAGGTACACGTGAGGAGGCGCGTAAACAGATCTCGAATAGTCTCTCTCGGATAGTCTCTCCTCGTTTGCTTCTAATCGTAATTTACAAAATTAAATGTAACTTAATGATTCGACTGTTTAATTAGTACGTAAGAGATTGTTGAATAACACGTAACACGTATTTCGATGTAATTCCGTAATTACGGAAACTCGTATACTCGTACTCCTTTAATTAAAACCATGTCGCGCGCGATGCAATTTGAAATTGTATTTTTCTCCTGTCGAAAACATCTGAGTAGCATCCTGATGAATACTTAACTCTTAAAGGTCACATATATGGATTATTTTGACTCTACCGATTTTTACAATCGAATATCCCGAAAGCCTAAATCAATAAAAAAAAAAATAAATAATAAAATTTTTTTATTATTTATTTATTTATTTATTTTTTAATTTTTGTTGTACACGATCATTTTCTCTATAGAGATGTCAAGAAATATATATAAATTTCTGTAGATTTTTGCACTTTGAGATAGCTAAAACTACGACGAGACATTGTAACCCAGAGCAAGAAAAATGTATAATCTACAAGGGTTAATTATTTTATCGCTTTTCATTTTCTTCGGAGGTTCAGAATTTCATGCAAGAGAAACGCGATACCGCAACTGATGTACTTTATGGATGATGTGACAGGTGATATATTTTATCAGCCGGAGAACAGGCGTCAGGTGGATAGTTGGTCGAAATAAGTTACACCGCGGGCTTTGTAATTGGCGATATGTGCAATGTATAACTTATATAGGTAGTTGGACGCGACACGTTCACCACTGTCCATGAACGAACACGTGTAAGCCGAAGTGCGGTGGAGCCTTCTGAATTTTTAATTTCGAGGCGCACTGCGGTATGCACACATACACGCATACACACATGTATACTCTCTTTCAATGCCCGCGGATAAAACTCTCGGGCTCTCAAGAGTTTTGCACGGCAGCGTATAGTCAATATATCACGCGCGTAGATATACCTTAAAAAGATTTCTCGGAGATTTAAGAGGAGGAACCATTGTCTCACTCGGCAAATGAATATTTAATCGTCGAGATAGATGCACTCTAAAATTTGACCCCTCGACTTTATATGCGCATTTATTAGTCGCGAACACGTACGATATATATAGTTGCGTTATGAAAATGTAGTTGGGTTCGTGTTACTTGTAAATTGTGCTAATGGCGTATTTATTTTCGCTCGTTAAATTTTTTAATTGTTTCAACGAGGAGTAAATAAATTTACGAGAGAATAGAATAATTCTCTCCTTCTTGTGTTACTTCAAACTTTGTCAAATTATCCTCTTCGGATTTATCTCATTCCTATAATGATCGACAAATGGAATATCAATGTCCGCTATTTGCGCGAATTAATTTTATTGGTGAATCAGTAAATATCAGGCAGCGAGTTGGCCTGTAACATTTATTCCAAGAAGTCTTTTCCATTATCGAGAGAGAAACTTCTTCAATATTTTATTTTAATGGATATATTCAATAACAAGAGAACTTTTCTTTACAATACTGAGGGATTACTCGGGGGTGATCAACCAAATTGTATGAGAAACTCTTTAGCTAATGATGCTATCCCTTGGATAATCAAAGATCGATTTTCTTAAAAGCAACAAATTAGGAAGACATAGATTTCTCGCGTATTTATCAATTACCGTTTGCATTTGACAAGGTGTCTACCTCCTGGAAAAATATGGAAAACCTGGAATTCTCAAGGATTTCTTTGAGTAGAGTCCCTTTTAATTGAAATTAAAAATTAAAAACATTAAATTTTTTTTTATATTTATTAGGATATATTTTATAAGATGTCCTCAAAAATCATATATTTAATTCATAATCCACATAAAAAATTTTAAGGTAATTAAAAATTTTTAAATTCTCTCTAATAGAGAACAAAAGAGAAAAAGATTTTTCCTAAGGGAAAATGAACTTGAAATAGATTGAAAAACTTGTAGATACAAAAACGAAAGTGCGAAATCACTTCTCGCCTCGTGTGATAGTTTGATCAAAATTATTACGAGAAATCCGTATCACGATCGGATTGATTGATCGGTATGAAGAAAACTGAATTTACCCGCGATCTTATACGGCAGGAATACGTGCAAGAAAAGCGTAGGATTTTCTTAACGGAGGATTGCTCGATGCGGGACGAAGACTAAGCGAGAAAGTTGCGGTGCGATATCATCGAATATGAAATCCGAAGGCAACAAGAAGAGTGTGCGAGTGCGCGTCCGTGCTTCGAATTAGGCCACTATGTGAACTGTTACGTAGAAGGATTGATTTTATAAGAGACGGGGCAGGGAGATAAACGTTCTACGCCACGTCCTATTCCACGTTTCACGGTATTCGTTGTAATGAAAAAGTAGACAGACGGTGCAGTTTCCGGTGGTGCAGTTTCCGGACATATTGTTCGTGGCTTGTTAATCTACGTATTTTCTTTAAAAACGGCGTGATGTAGTCTCGGTATGCGATTGGACGTTTTCCAAAAAGGGCGGTAATTAACAATGATCAGCGAATTGGAAAATATGTGAATTGCTTAATTTAATATAAGATTTTAATTTGCGTATTAATTATATCAGTAATTTTCATTTTTTATTAATTATTATTGTTCTGCTGATTATTTTTAATGTGATTCTAATACAGTGTGTTTGGTTTAAATGTATACATTTAGTTATTTCTTTATATAATAGTTATTATAAAAAAATGTTTAGAGTAAAAGTTATTTTTTGTTGAAGAAGATCTATATAATGACAAACGAAAATATCCACGACAGTTTTTATTGGAGATATTTTGTTTTTTTCCGCTCATGACTAAAAGCAACACAAATGATAATATTTTATGAATAACTATTGAAAATCTCACTTTATTGCACGCTATCGAATTTATCATAAATACTTTACAAAACTGCAATAAAATAGATACATTATTCAATTTAAACAAATAAAACTACAAAAAATAATAAATAAATAAATCGTATAAAAGAAGGAATACTTTTTAATTAAAATATCGTTCATTCGTTTGAAAATCCTCTCGCATTACTTGGAAAATACCGGTCATTTCTTTCTCTTCTCGTACTCTCCGTCCGTAAGCCGAGATACAACATTAATCTCTCTTTACTGCATCGGAGCGGGAGACTCGATGTACTCGTGGTACGCTCGGCGTAAAGTTTTCAATCGACGTTATCCTGCGTGCGGTTTCCCTTGAAGGTTCGTGCTTCCGTGCGCCCAGGGAAGGGCGACATCCGCGCTGGTTATTGCCAATTTAATTCTAAGTTTGTGAATAAATGTCTCGAACGGTTCGTGGAAGGCGTTTCCTCTCGGAAGAGGGTTGCCGTGGCTTCCGGCTGTGTGTTCGATATCGCCAACTATTTCTCGGCCACGGATACCTTTCGCCAAACTATCGCGCGCGTGGTCTCTTCGGTATCTCTCCAAAAGCGATGGTTTCCAAAAAGGGCGGTAATTAACAATGATCAGCGAATTGGAAAATATGTGAATTGCTTAATTTAATATAAGATTTTAATTTGCGTATTAATTATATCAGTAATTTTCATTTTTTATTAATTATTATTGTTCTGCTGATTATTTTTAATGTGATTCTAATACAGTGTGTTTGGTTTAAATGTATACATTTAGTTATTTCTTTATATAATAGTTATTATAAAAAAATGTTTAGAGTAAAAGTTATTTTTTGTTGAAGAAGATCTATATAATGACAAACGAAAATATCCACGACAGTTTTTATTGGAGATATTTTGTTTTTTTCCGCTCATGACTAAAAGCAACACAAATGATAATATTTTATGAATAACTATTGAAAATCTCACTTTATTGCACGCTATTGAATTTATCATAAATACTTTACAAAACTGCAATAAAATAGATACATTATTCAATTTAAACAAATAAAACTACAAAAAATAATAAATAAATAAATCGTATAAAAGAAGGAATACTTTTTAATTAAAATATCGTTCATTCGTTTGAAAATCCTCTCGCATTACTTGGAAAATACCGGTCATTTCTTTCTCTTCTCGTACTCTCCGTCCGTAAGCCGAGATACAACATTAATCTCTCTTTACTGCATCGGAGCGGGAGACTCGATGTACTCGTGGTACGCTCGGCGTAAAGTTTTCAATCGACGTTATCCTGCGTGCGGTTTCCCTTGAAGGTTCGTGCTTCCGTGCGCCCAGGGAAGGGCGACATCCGCGCTGGTTATTGCCAATTTAATTCTAAGTTTGTGAATAAATGTCTCGAACGGTTCGTGGAAGGCGTTTCCTCTCGGAAGAGGGTCGTCGCGGCTTCCGGCTGTGTGTTCGATGTCGCCAACTATTTCTCGGCCACGGATACCTTTCGCCAAACTATCGCGCGCGTGGTCTCTTCGGTATCTCTCCAAAAGCGATGGAAAGGGAGGGTTGAGGGAGACGGTACATTCTCACGAAACAAAATGGCCAACATCCGTCGAATAATCATAGAGAAATTTGGCCAGATGAATCTTCCCCCGCGCCGATTGTTTTCCGCAAATAGCGGACTTCCATTGTCCGCCAAGCATTCCGTTATACGACGAAATTAACAAAATGATATAAATTTATTTAGACAAAGAGAGAGAGAGAGAAAGATAACGCCTGTTCAAAATATATCCAAAACCTTTATATATTCGAAAACCGCCATTGTTATTTGTTTTCATCGCGGCTCTTAAACATTTCGAGTCTCGATTATTTGTTTCAGATACTGGTTGGATCGCGGCGATTTTAAGATGACTCTGAGATACATGAATCTGCTCAAGGGTGCGCCGAGAAGCATCGCCAGAGACTGGATGAACGAGACCAGGATCCTGCTGGAGACGCAGCAGGCGATCAACACCCTACTGGCGTACGCAGGTGCGATCGGTCTCGTATATCTCGGCGCTGGAGATTCGCCCAAGGTCAGTGCACTAAGTTACGTAACCCCTTAAACAAGCGGCGCGATTAGATATGCGCTGAGAAACGCGTGTTTCCGGTGATTAATAGCCGACCTGAGTATCCATCTCACTGTTTCCATCTCTCTCCCTCTTTCTCGACAACGATAGCTCGCTTATTAAACGACATGTTTCCGTATAGCAAATAGCTTCTGCCCATAGTGATCTCCCGATAGCAATTGCAGCCTGAACAAGATTGATTATATTTATTTGTCATCGAGACATTTATTTATTGCGTGCACGTATAGTTGAGCAGAATTTATCTTTTTCAGCCAAAAGTTGATTAGCTATATTTTTTTCTTAAAAACACTTTTTTATTATATGTATATTGATTAATTTATTTGATGCTTCTTTCGACGCTTTTGTTATCTGCATATAAGAGCACCTTGGTTGCTTATTGTAATTTGGAAGCGGATCCGTGAGCGTCCCTTTACGTTCTTTGCGGCGTTGTTCGAATTGTTCCAGCAGAAGTAAAGGCGGACAGAGAACCACAGAAGAGAGGCTGTCCCGAACCACACACACGAGGGAATGTCTATAGAGGAACGGGGCGGGGGTGACAGAGGAGAATAGGGAGAGACAGATGGCACCGACGACGAACTGAAGGGAAACGAGAACGGAAGGATGAACGCGGGGAGAAATCGCTGCCAGCCTTGTATAGTCACAGAAATGTCTTTTCTAGCAATTAAAATATAGGAATATATATATTGTGTGCCGAGAGAGGTAATGCAGACAGTGAAACACTTTTCTTTGCCAGTCCTCGAGGACTCCCATCCTTGTACGGAAATGTACTTTCGCGCGCTTTGAATTTTTCAACGAGATTCAAATTTTATGTATGAAACGTACGCGAAGATTTTAAATACTTGTCGGATATATAGATTTCGAGCGAGCTGTTGAATGGAATACGAACGTTGTAGTGAATACGAAATCACTTATCTGATAATATATTTTGCTTCGATAAATACTTTTTTGCTTGATTATATATATAAGAAGAAACCACTTCCCTTATATTGATTGAGAGAAGAATATAAAGAAAAAGTTTATTTTTATTTTTGCATACCACTATTCCACCCAACAGCTCGAATCGTGTGTGATGAGGGTACAGAAAGTTACCGAATACAGTGTAAATATCGAACACGATCGTACTTCTAAAGAGACGACGGTATAAGAAAGCATTTAAGCGCGTCCCACATTTATTACAACGTGAAAATACAAAGTCCCGGATGTTTTTAAATTATTATTTTCGCGTTTAATCATGCCTGTAACTTTGATAATCACGTTCGATGGCGGCGGGCGTGTTTTGAGCTCTCCTTGTCCTGATCCATCCATCCATCCATCTATCTACCCATCCATCCATCCATCTCTATCGAGAGTACCTTTTACTTTATAACCGGATATTACTCTCCCGCGCACCGAACTCCCGTCGCGAATCACATCGATCGTTCGCGTGCCGTTACCTCGTCTTTCGCCTCTCACACGAAAACCTTGGCGATTTCGCACGGGACGGGGAAGCGTGCTAGGAATCATTGTAAAAATTGGAAATAAAGTTGTTTCCTGACGTAACGAGTGTGTCGTGTTGATTGATCCGCGAGGCAACTTTCCACCGTTTTTAATCCTTCCAAATAGCTAAAACAGATATCGTACTTTTGGAAGAATTCTGTTTAGAACGTTTTAATTCGTTCACAGGGTTGAAAATTGTCACAAACGAAACTTTCAATCTATGTAAATAAATTTAACAAGTGCAACATTTTCGATATATTAATAGCATGTTTTTTCTTTTTCTCTATTAATATCGAATTTCTGTCTTTTACTTCAAAATAGCATTTGTCTTTTCTTTTAAATCGGACGATTACAGCCAAAATTATAAGCGATTAAATTTTCAAAATACGTGTGACATTAATAAATGGATAAGATTGAATAGACGTGAGTCGAGCATTCAGAGAAATATTTTACTTATTATTTTAGAAACAGATTAACGCATTTAGTTTATAAACGGATCCTTCGGATTTTTTCTTAGCGAAGAAAGGCAACGGCATTATTCGTCTGAAGTAGCGAACGATGTAAGAAGGGATCAGTATCGAATCGTTTGCTCTCGTGGACAATGGGGTAAGCTTGAGGAAAGAGCCGTAAATGGCCCCGAAATAACGTCGGAGCCGGTTGCCAGTTTATGGAAACGTCGTTGGCCGCTATTATGTCGCTCGTAATTAGTCGTCTGACGCTCTAAATAGGTCATCGCGTACCCTGTGCAAGTATATTCTCTAGGAAATTCAAAGATGGATCTAAAATATAATGATGAGCAATCTTGTTCGCTGCAACCGTTCGATTTTCGCCGAATAATACTTTTTTTTCTCTTGAGAAAGAGTAAACAATGAATTCATTTTAACTTTTTTTAATTTTTCAGCAACATTGCAATTCCCGTATTGATTCAAACTTAGAAACTCTCATTTGTTTGCTAAATTCTAAATT